AAACGTGTGTGACAGGTGAATAAATCCATGACTGGGGGATCAGTGGAGCGTCCGCGGCCATGTCCTGGAGGGAAATCGGTCGCAACCAGCGAGTATGTTCATGGCGACTGGACCCAGGACCATCAGCCCGAAAAGCTCGCCTCCTCGATACCTGTACGCCACCTCGGCAACCCCTTCTCCTGGATTTCTTCCCTGGCTTACCTGGACGCCAGTTTGCGAAGAGAAGCCGGTACTCAGGTGAGGAGGAGGAACACACAAACGGTGGCGGAAAAGTTTGTCGGTAGCCCTCCCGGGAGTCAAAGGGTCTTTCCATGGACGCTTTAATCCGGAACAAGGACCATCGGTCATAAACCATTGCAGCAGAGATACATCCATTTAGAGGTGAGGTTATGACAACAAACATGACAGATAAAAACAGCGAAAAACGGGTGGCAGCAGGAGCAACAATAGCCAAGCCAAACAGAGGCGCCATGTTGTCTCGTGGTCTGAAGTGTCAGTATACAGCATACAGACAATTTAGCTAAATGCACATCCCAGAGAACACACAAATACACCGTTTATTATGTCAAAACAACTAAAACAATGATTCATTCACAGGTGGGTCAACATGTACACAGGGGTCAGCCCCTCCAGTATTTTTTTATTTGTTTTACAACTGTATGTAACTTATATATTTGTAAACCCTGCACCTTATCTGTAAATATGTATTTGATTTTTGTATACAAATCTGTCTGTACCTTGCCTCACATGCAACAACTTTGATACTGTAACCATATATGTGAATGTAATGTAACCACAACCACTTGAACTACTCTTCGTACTTTCTGGTTGGATGAAAACTTTCTTTCAATGTATTATGTGCATTTAAAATAAAGCTGAGTCTTTTCTAATCTAATCTATTTAGGTTTAGGACTGGGAAATATTTTGGATTTTGATGCTTTTGATTGTGATTATCTTAAACTTTGACTCATATCTGTCTTAATTAGTAAGATAGATACGATGTTTTTGATTCATTTTTTATGATGCTTTGATAGAATGTGATGAAATCAAAAGCAATACATCATCCAACTCATACATTAAACTGTGGAGAATTGCTTTTGATCTCACCTACATGTCAGCATCTTGTTTTTTTCTGAATTTCTCATCAGTTACAGTTCTCTTTCAATGAGCTGCATCTCACCCTGAAGATTATGACATTTGGATAGGACGGGGAATTTTGTTGATTTATTTTGGAGCAGGGTGAGGCTTCTGCAATGATCACACTATCAGGAGAATGTAGTGTCATCTGATATATCAGTACATTATTTATATGGGACACATACAGCATCATAAGCCATTTTTCATCTGTATTAACACAAGTGGTGCAAACTCAACGCTTTATGAGACAGCACCTAGAAAGAATATGTCTTGACCCTGATATTGTCTTAGTAGGACAAAAATGCAAAAATAAAGTATAAAATAGGTTTGTTTCAAGTTGATATGTGCAGCCTTGTAAGTGTGTTATTAATATACAGTTATGGCAGTTTGTGTTGAATAAGCTGCATCTGTAAAACATTACAATTAACTTTAAGGAATGGTACTGACAGTGGACAGTGGTTGTATTCCCATCTTATCCGTGTAAGTGATTATCTAAAGCAACTGTAATGAGCGGATTCAGAACAACCTGAGCGTTCTTGTTGCTCTGGCTAGCAGGAGCCAACTGGCTGAGATTGTTAGCAGTTGTGGAGCTTGCACTATTTCTTAATGATCTTAATGTCTTTCATTTTTGTAAAGCACTTTGAATTGCCTTGTGTTGAAAGGTGCTATATTAATAAACTTGCCTTGCCTTGCTAGTTTTAGAGTGAAAGAGGTTTGGATTGGCTGAAAGGAAAGAGGGCGGAGCATGAAATGTGTTGTTGGGAAAACTGCCATAATGAATAAATGACTGTTGAAGAAATGTTATTATGGAGTGATGTCATAGTATTTCATAATAATGAGTTAGGTTTCAAAATGCTTCAACTATTTTACGTATGTGAACGCTTTTCAGGCTCCTGTGCGAGGTTATTCTACATACCCATCTTCCACCCATCATGGGGACCACTGAGACATTAGCATGTTCCAGGCACTTTAGGATCTGTGTTTACTGTGAGCTATATTTAGGCTTCTCTAAGTGTCCATTAACCCTTCGTTAAAGAACAGTAAAAAATAGCACGATGGAAAAGTTTTCCAGCCCATAATAATGCTGCTGCCCTTTATTAAGAGTTCAGAGCTACGTTAGAGTGATGCAGTGTGTATGTATTTACTGAGGATGAGGTGGTGTTACCTGCTGCTGTTGATCAGCAGCTCCGTCCCTCGGCTCCAGAACAGGCTGGGTTTGGGGGCGGCTCGGGGGCGACACTCCATCATCACCTGCCCCCCCCTGGCTGCTGGGATCAGTCTCCTCACTGGGTTCAACCTGAAGTCTGGGGCCTGAACTGTGAGGACAGCAGTGAGGGGGGGGGGCGCAACAACAAAGAGGTATATAATATTAAAGTTAGACTTTCATAAATCCAAGGAAGCTTTGTAGAGGAGAATGTAAGCCCCTGTCACACTGTCCTGAAATTGACACCAGATGGACACACGAATATGGAATTGTGAATTTTGCACGAAGATGGCCCCGAACCACACAAAGGCAACATTTACATTACATTTAAGACATACAACTGCAACGAAAGTAACAAAAACGATTATGTTAAAGTACTATAATACTGTACCGATATTTTCAGACTTTGTTCTTTACTTTCTTTGTCTTTATATGTAGAAGATATTACGTTTTCTCCGTCATTTTGTTTCCATAGCAACAACAACTTCCTGTCAACTTGCCTTCAAAATAAAAGCATCTAAATAAAACAGGAAGTTAACCTAAATTACATTTAAGACATACAACTGCAACGAAAGTAACAAAAACAAAGTAATATCCTTTTCAGTTTCACAGAGCACAAATTGGGTTATTTACATAAAAAAAAAAATCAAATCAAAGTCAAAGTCAAATCGTGTCATCTTCGTCTGATCATCGGTGCCATCGGGCATTTTCCACCCCTTCACAAGGTCCTTCGGCAATTTTTTGGCATGCCAAAGATTTTGCCACCGCTCGCAAAGTTGCTGCCGGAGCCTGAGAAACTCCACCGGCGGTCATACGATGGCTTAAGATGGCCCTCATGAATGGCCCGATGTTGTTACGATCAAGGAGCCGGAATTTTGAACATTTCCTTTATCGTGTGTCCATCTCGTGTCAATTTCGGGGACAGTTGTGACAGGGGCTTTGGGCTGATGTAGATGTGAATGTTTAATGGTTTTACAAGTTATATTGTTCTTTTCACTGAGACATGTCAGTTTTATTGTAGGATCTTAAGAGGAACACTACAGCATTTGGACTCCCTACCCTGAACTCTGAGCTCAGCAGTAGAGTAGATGGGTGCCATGTTTGTTCTCACCGCACCAACTGATACATCCCAGAATCCTCCAGGGCCAGGTTACTGATCTTCAGACGAGCCCCGTTCACCTTCTACCCTGGGTCCTGTGGGGGGAGTAGGGAAAAGTGTGAGGTAGAAAGGGAATAGGTGAGAGGAAGGTAAGTAGGAAGGAGTGGAAGCTGTGACACAAAGCACGTGTGTACGTGTGCTTGTGCTGCTGTGGGAATTTAACTCTGTTCACCTTTGACTCCACCTGTTTATGGTTTTATCCTCAGTATAATATAGTCTCTATGGTACTTCGCAGATGGATAAAGTTTCAGCTGAACTATTGTATAAGTATATACACAAATAATTTCATGGGCCCTCATTAATATTTTAATATTGTATGTCCTCTTCTGAGTGGCAGTATTCACATGGGACAGATGATGACACTGGTTTTTACTAACCACATGGTGATGTGATCTTGGGAGACCTCATTCCGTAGTGCATGAACCTGTTTCAGCGTTGAAATAGAACAGATGGTAATCGACTATTCAGTTTTGTATTATAATTAGTGGCTTATGTACCAATCTATCGGTGTGATCGCAGAATGACCTCATTGTGGGAGTGTCGCGAGACTGATTACAAAATAAAAATGGGAAAATTAAAAAAAAGGAATTTTTTTTTTATTTTAATTTTT